CATATATATATATATATATATATATATATACTAAGTTTAAATATTTTTAGACATGTTTTTTTTTTCCAAAATAGTTTAGGAAAATTGTAAAGTGTCTTTAGATCTATAAATATATAAAAGACAACCTATTTACAAAAAATATTGACATAAAAATCAAGCAACATTTCACGCATTCCAATTTCAGCAGTTTTTTTAATTTTCTTTTAATCTTAACCCAAAAAATCGGTCATCCATAAATGCACCCTAAATTGGTGGGTTTTGTTGATGTATTTTTTGAAAATTTCAGATATCAAAATTCATTCTCATTTAAATAGAAATCAAAATTCGTTCTCATTTTCTATTCAAAAAATCTAATTGAAAATAATTAGGTCTTATTTAGAATATAAAATTTTAATTTTTAAATCCCTTATCATTGAGTTGCCATAAAATCAGCCTACATTTATTGCATGCCGGTAGTTTTTTTTTTAATATTTTAATTTATTAACCCCAAAAATCGATTAACCTTAAATACACCCTAATATGATGGGTATTGTAGATTTGTTTTGGTAGATTTCGGTAGTGTTTACGATTTCCTAAAAATCAAAATCTTTTCTCATTTTTTATCCGAAAAATCTGGCTCAACTAAAAATTGGCTGAATTAAATTTTCAATTAGAAAAAATAAAATCACATATTCTCATATAGATGAACTTCCCATTAAACTACTATTATTTATATATTTATGTTTCTTTTTTTGCAATATAAAATTTGAATTAACTCTAGATTATCAAGAAAAACATTTTACGATATCTGTTATATTTTGCTATGTAATCTTCATAAAACAATTATAAATCTTATAAGATATATCCTGCTAAATAATTTAATTGATTTATTTAAATCTGTCTAGAATCCTAAAATATGTAACCTTCACGGCCAGCTTTATGCATGTTTCACGCGCTACGAATCTTAAGTGTTTGAAAATTTTAATTTGTGGCGGTAGACGATTTAACAAAAGGCAAACATATAATAATGTTGTATACAAGAATGTTTTTATTAATATATAAGTTACATTTTGTTTTATTCTAATATATGTGTTTTATGTTTTTTCATTCAACCAATCTAAATGTTTACCATAATAAAAATAACCCGTGCATCGCACGGGTACCGCACTAATTCTACAAAATAAAGGATTCTTATTAGATTTAATTTGGATCGAATTTACATGATTTCTTTTACCCAATTTTGGACTTCTTATTTTCCGTTGAATACAATATTCTTTCAAATATTTTCCTTTGAAATTCGCGTTCTTTCAAATTTAATTTGGATCGAGTTTACATAGAACTTTATATTTTTCTTTCAATTAATACGCGAATATTTCAAAATTTTCATTCGTTGTATCACGATTGTCTCACATTTTCACAAATTCAAGACTTTTCATTTTATTCGTTTCACATTCTTCAATCAGTTTTTGGCCTTTTATTTACTCTCAAATTTATCTTATTTTATATCCAGTAGTTGCAACTATATTCAATTTATGATTTGAATAATATTTAACCTTACTTTTCATTTCAAAAAATAAAATTCATTTCACATCGTTAAATTTAGCATATTGCAACTATAGCCCATGATTTGAATTCATTTCAACTTTTTATTTTACTTGAAATTTAAATTTAAATAATATTTAAGCTTGCTCTTAATTATTAAAAATTATATACAACGGTCAAGAACTATTTATCAAAATAAAATATACATGCTACTAATAAAATCTTACTCGTATACATTTTATACCCATAATAATAATAAAAAAAATTAAAGTAAGGTTTGGCTCTTTGATGATCGGTTTGGCTCTTCGATAAGTGAATTTTGTTGTTTGGTGTTAGAAAAGCAAAATTATAACAGTTCTGTATTAACTTATACCTAAAATATTTTACCCACAAACTCGTTTTCGGTTTTGAGTTATTTATTGTAATTTAAATATTTTTATTTTTTTGTAAATAAATAGAACTAAAAAAATTAGAATCAATTATTACGACCAACACAAATACACTCTTAAATTATTTTTTATTTTAATAATAACTAGTACAATGCCCGTGTATTACACGGGTGCTTGCTAATTTTTTTTTCTTAAAATCTAAAACTAATGAGAAAAAATAGTTGAAAATTTAAATACCTTTATAAAAATATATATATTATTATATATTTAGTATGACACTTTTTATTTGTGTAACTTACTATGTTATATTATGATAATTTTTTAACTTTAACATATAACTACATTAAACATAAATATATCAATTGAGAAATACTTTTATTTCTCTAATGAATTTTAATAAATATTATTATTTATTATTATTATAAAGATAAATATCATTTATTTATTTCATATATACAATATGGATATCAAATCGAAGATCATCAAAAGATGATTAATTTGATATATTTTATATGTAAAACGGATAAGAAATACAAAAGTTATCAACTTTTAAAATACATTTATAATTCAATAGCTTATTGAAGGAAACAAATCAAATTCAGGGATCTATTAGTCACTTAGTGCTTCACTATGTAAAAGTATAAAGAATTAAAGGGTTATATTAGTAAAACCTAAGTTAGCTAAATAATATTTATAGAATACCCGAACCTAGATTTCAAATTATTAATATATCAATATTATTTATCCAAACCTAATTACGAAGCATGATCCTTCGCCAAATAGGATTCCGAAGCACCAGAAGCAGCCACGTAGGCTCAGCGCATTCTGGAATTATATATAGGGAGGATTAATCTTGCTCCTAATATTGTCTGTTATTTTTAAGAAAAAAAATGGACTAAGTTTGTTTTCGGTTTTGAGTTATTTATTCTAATCTAAATATTTTTATTTTTATTTTAAATAAATTGAACTGAAGAAATTATATATTTTGTACAAAATAAATTGAACTGAAAAAATTAGAATCAATTATTACGACCAACACGAATACACTCTTAAATTATTTTTTATTTTAATAATAATTAATCTTGATCCTAATATTATCGGTGAACAAAAAAAAATGGACCTTATCCTTATCTAGTTTATTTAATCTCACCGCAACTATTTATCTAATAAACCTAACTATATATTATAAATTACAAAACTCTACAAACATCAAAATATTGTTATGTGTACACACTCCTTAAATCTCAAATCTTGGATTGAATGAAAGTCTACATTTTTGCTCTACAATTAATCTTGCTCCTATTATTATATGTTATTTTGAAAAAAAAAAATGTACTAAATACACTTATCCCGTTTATTTAATCTCACGGCAACTATTTATCTAACAACCCTAACTATATATTATAAATTACAAAACTCTACAAACATCAAAGATTGTTTATGTGACACTCCTTAAATCTCAAATCTTTTGCTGAATGAAAGTCTACATTTTTGCTATACAACCAACACCAATACACTCTTAAATTATTTTTGATTTTAATAACTAATCTTGCTCCTAATATTATATGTTATTTTGAAAAAAAATGGACTAAATACACCTTATCCCTTATCTAGTTTATTTAATCTCACGGCAACTCTTTATCTAACAAACCTAACTATATATTACAAATTACAAAACTCTACAAACATCAAAATATTGTTCTAAAGATGTGTACACACTCCTTAAATCTCAAATCTTTGTTTTGAATAAAAGTCTACATTTTTGCTCTACAATTAAAGGCAACATAAGTAAGTTTATTGTGATATCTAAGAACAGTGTTCCCTACTTCCATTCTCTAAATCAATATGCTAATTTATTTAATCGATAAATAAATGATTAGTCCAATTTATGTAAGTTTATGTAGGCCTGCTGGGCTTCTATCTGCATGGGCTAAATTTGCAGAATAAGCCCTGTAGACGTCTAGACAAGTTTACGTACAAAGCCCACATTGGACCAAAATTTTGATATTGTACATGGGCTCAGTAGGCCATTTGATCTGAAATTTATGAAGGTCTATATGAAAACAAAATTGCAACATCCCTTGAAAGGTATGATCGGTTAGTTCAATTCTATAGTGTCTAACACTTGTGTATATTAAACTCTGGAGATTTTTGTTAAGTTATTTAATTATGAATAGAATAATGAACCTAATTTCTTTTATTTAAACAGTAAGGTTTAGATCTCTTTAGCCGTGGAGAAAAAGAGATAATTTTTAAGGTAAAAAAAATGATGGTTGTGAGTTTTTAGCCATTAAACATGGATTGAAACATTGTGATGAGTTGAAGCAAACCCCTCTTCAGATTTTCTCGGACTCATTTTCGACGGTACAAGTAGTTACCGACATCAGTTAGTCACATGGCTACACTCGTTCATGGGCTAATGATATTCGTGTTTCTTTGTTTGAAGCATCAGCAACAACAAGACAAATTCACCATATGCGTCAATCGACAAACAAAGTTACCCATATCATTGCGTTTTTTGCTTCTTTTTCAAGCTCCCCTTTTTTTTTGGAAGGTGGATGCTTTTCCTTCTTGGCTTAAGAATCTTGTATGTAACGATACTCTTTTTATCACTTAATATAAAATCCTTGTCCAGTCAAAAAAACAAAGAAATCTTGATTGGAGTTTTTTTTTTTTTTTTGGGAACTAATTCTTATTAATTTCAGTTTGGATTTCTTCTCACAATCTGCCTTTTACTCTATCAATTCTATATGGACAGTGCCCACATGAAAAGGATGAAATTTATTGGTAGTTCCGGCTCATATTAAAAATAAAAAAATAAAAAAAAAATTAAATAAATAAATATATCACAAGCTACAGGAAGAGAATAATAATTTAAAAAACTGTTGTCAACTGCATCTATAAGACTAAAAAAGAAAATTGGATTTGGTGCTCTCACAAAATCTTCCCTGCAAACATCATTACCAAAAAAAAAAATGTCAAAATCATATAAGAAGTTGCATATATTAGTGATTCTTATTAAGATGTTCACAAAGTCACAAACACAATCAATCAAGAGACTAATAAAAAATAAGAGGAAAAGTTTCACAAGATTAGTATTCATTTTTTTAAGGACATTTAAATTAGTATTCATTTTTTTAAAAACAAAAAAAAAAAAA